CCAAGTACTTCCAACAAGCCTCATCACTGTCTCCCGATTGCTGTCCCATCCACGTTGCAACTTGCCTCCAAATTCGGCTGTCGCTGCTACCAGGTAGGGTTTCTGCTAATCGCAAACTTAGAACCAGCACTTCACGGCAACAGTTTATCCTCCTCTTTGGGGGTTCAGGTAGCCCATAGTCATCTTCCAGTAAGTGAAACAGAGTCCTGCATTTTTGCAGTGTATTCCTTACTCATCCTTTTGTACAAGTTTGATGACTCCTCCTTCCTCTTAGGTCTGCACGTGGTAGGACACCCCCAAATACAGTTGTAACAGTGCTGCTGCTCTCTTGCCTCACCTAGGCAAAGAGGCCGTGGAATAGATGGATGTGCTAAAAAGCACCAATAACAAACACCAGCAAGACAGATGCAGTTGGTGTACCTACACTTGTTACAGCAGAGAAATGAGTTATTGTTAGTTAAATTCTAAGATTATGTTTGATTAGTTACAAAAAAAGTCAAAGTCTGAAAGAAATGTTGTCTTCTGACAATTGAAAATTGCATTGCTACCTTTTTTTTTTTTAGTTAGCAGAGGAGAAGGGCAGGCAATGTAGAAGGGTTTAGATTCATGGCCAAGTTCCCCCGTTTGCCAACAGGATAGCAATAGCAGTGTTCTAACTTGTGTTTTGCACAACATATATCCCAGGTTATAATAGATATACAATGCTTTATCCCCTGAATCAGTAAAAGAAACAGGCAAGCGCTAACTACAAGTAATTCTGTTCCATTTAATTCTCTTCCAAAAATGTATCACAAAGTTCACGAGCTTATCTTGCTAACATGAAACTTGTCAACTCCCCTTTTAACTGACTCCAGCCCTATAGCTTTGAAGCTCGCTAGGGCTGTGGGGCATAGAGCTGAGCAGATTTCTCAGGAAATCTTGTGTACGTGGGGGGCGGGGGGGCAGCGTGCCATGATTGTGGTCTCACTGTAGCTTTTTGCAACCATTTCCAATGTCACAGTGACCTGCAGTTATTTGAAAAGGAAGTTTCCAGCTGCAAGTATCTTTAATTTGCAACTCTTACCTCCTCGCTGAAAGAAGCCTGCTGGGACTGGTATGCATCCCTATTAAAGTTGCGTGAACGCTTTTTTTTATATTTTTAAATACTCGGTTTACATGACATTTCTGATCTCCTGATGATTACAGAGGAACTCTGGTTAGGTTTGCCTTTCACAGCTAATGAGTGGTACTAAAACAAGTTTTATACTTAAGCAATGGGATGCCTAGAGTGGAACTAGAGATGAGTCAGCAGTTAGCTAAGGTTATTTGAATAGCAATATAAACCATGCCTGCCGCTAGGAAACAGTCCACAAAGGTCATACCAAGTGCCTAGTATTTAGACGCTACCACCCTGGTGATACGAATCCTCTTAAGAGTCTCACACTTTTTAGACCAAGCATCATTCTGTTTGACATTTGGATGTTGTTGTGTAAATACCTGCTGCTTGGTACCTGGGTGACAGGGAAGAATGCTTGACATTATTGGCACTACTCAGAGTGAGGCATGCCTGCCAGATTGACAGATGCTGCTCTCTCCCCATTTAGGGGAGTTAGGCACTAAAATTAGTAACTATTAAAACAAGCGTACTGAGCAGGGATCTGATGAATCTCATCAACAAGAAATACTGAAGAGAAGGTAAGGCGTCACCACCGCTCTTTCTACAGGAGTTAAGGCTGTAATTCACACGGAGGGACAGCACAGCTTACGAAACGACTGCCCCCGGCACAGAGCTAGCCCAGTTGCTCAAGCATAACCAGGTGCGGGGCCCCAGCAGCTGACGGCGCACAACGTTAAAGCAGCGTAAGGGTAGCGACAACCTTTGCAAGTTACTGCCTACGCTGACGGGGAGCGTGTGTGTGGGGGGGGTGTTAGGCCAGATGCAGGGTGTGCGAGACGGTTCCCTGGTGAGGCACTGCTGCTCACAAACAGCCCTGGAGAGGAAAACGTTTACTAACAGTCCTGGAGAGGAAACGGTTTATAAGCTAAAACTCATGTAGGGTTCAGCTCTGTTGCCTCTGCAACCACAGGAAACAAGCACGCCAGCCCCACTCATGAATCATGGCTTTTGGGAACTTCACCTTGAAGAGCAGGAAAATCTTTCTTCAGGTAAAACTGATCTCTTTAATCCCTTCTGCTGGGATCATTGCCCAAGTGCCTTCATTTGCCAAAAAAAAAAAAAAAAAAAAAAACACAATAAGAAACACAGCTGCTTGTGTTGGTACCACCCTCCCTTATTCAATTGTTCAGTGGCTTAACATTCAGCCTGAACATTGCAGACCTACTTTTAATTCTCTCTTCTAGCTGAGCGGATTCAAGGCCACATTGTTCCAGCCCTCCACTCCAGTGACCTAGCTACAAAACAGCTGAATTAATAATAAAAATAAAAGGAGAAAGAAATCCCACCATGAACGCCTTCACGTTCCGCTGACCCACTTCAGTACGAACACTCGGAGATTCTGCCTGGCTCTTGCCGAGACTGGCGTTGCCAGGACTGAGAGCTGCAGTTACTCTGTAAAGCCAGCGCTGCTGGTTGCAGACAGACACAGACGTTAAGGCACCTTCTGCATCAGAAGTGAGCGGGTGTTTAAAACGTCCTTGCAAGAGAAATCCCAGGCCTCTGAATTACCCACCAAAAGGCCGTTTTTATCAGTCTCTCTGACACGGTGGTGGTATCAGAGCACTAAATGCCATTAAACTTGAGAGGGCAAAACAAAGATTCTCCCACAGGCAAGGCTAAGAACAATAGCATTAGTGAATTACCGTACGTCATCGCGAGACCCAGCATATATATGTACAGCAACATGGCCCTGGCCCATAAGCAAGAACCAGGGTTTAACAATTGCCGTTTATTGCAGTAGATAAATACCAGCTGCCTCACTCCGAGCCTTAACAGTTTAGTTTATATCACAGGTTTTAGTCTTTCATGTGCAAACAAAGCTATGCAAACATATAAATTTGAATTTGGGGTAGTTTTTCAAAGCTCATTTTACAAAACAACAGGAGCGCTTACTGAGATACAGAGAAATTAAGTGCACGAGCGGTGTGTCTGGTTTGAGTTACAAGGAAGGCCTTCGCTCCTTTTGAAACACAATCTTTTTCAAACATACACCACGTGTGTTTGAACATACATGACTGTAACGACGGCTTGCAGATACCTCTTTTTACGCTCTTCTGTAATGAACGAATTCGATTAAAGAGCCAAAATTCAGTGCATACAAAAGCTGCAATTTGAAAAATCCCGACAGCACCAGTCCTTGTTGCGGCAGGAGCAGAGCTTCTGTGGGAACTGACCGTATTTCCCTCTGCGCGCCGCACCAAAGCAGCTCCTCGGGACTCCAGAAAAACAGCAACAAAAATTGCCGCGCGGTGAGCCATCTGCCCTTCCGCGCAGCCCGTGCTCGGCGCTGTAACGCCACCCACCGGCGGCGGGGCGGGCGGCGGGGAGGCTGGGGGGGACCCGGCCCGCGCCCCCTCCGCCAGGCGCGCAGAGTCGGTTCCACTGACAGGTTACAAAAGCTCTTTTTCGAGTTTTTATCTCTGCCCCCTCTGAATGTAAATATTTTCAGGAAAAAAAGAAAAAGCAGCAAGTGAGAGAAAACTCATTTTTGAAGCATTTGGATTTCTCCTTCTGTCTCCTGCAAGCGTTTGGAACCCTTTTCCCCCCCTCTCTGTTTTTCAGCATCTTCCACGCTCCCCTCACCGGCCTGCTGTTGGCAGCCTGTGATCCTTCCCGCGTTCGCACGCTGCCCCTTCTTTCGCAGAGCCAACGGGGCCTGAAGCAGGGCAGAGGCTTCAGAGCTTTTTCTTACAGGTGCCAACAAACGATTTTTACAGCATTGTCCCTTTCAAAAGACGACTGTCCGGGTAGGTTATTCATGGAAGAACAGTGTCTTCTTAAAACAAATAATCACTGTCCCCTAAGGAAATTTATTAGAAGTTCAGTTCACAATAGCAGCCTACCAAGAAACAGCAGAACGCTCTCAGCCAAATGACATTTCTTGATTTTGTAACCTAAATTCTTAAGGGCTAACAATGTAATTCCTAGAAGTGACAGGAGCAGCTCTGATCACCCTTTCTCTCAAGACCAGAAAACCGGAACCACAAGTATTCAGATTATGGCAAAGTCACTTCAGAGTACCACAGCAAATCTGCTATGCGTTCCATGCCGCGAGAACTAGAGGATATGAGTATGAGAAATGGAACAAAAAGGAACGCCTCCTTCTCACACGCCCAAAGCACTGCTCTCAGCAGAAACTCTTACAAATAGATTGTATATTGTTTCACTTGGAAAGCAAGAATAACATTTTCAGAGAGACAACAAAAAAAAGGACAGAGACAGCACACCTTCCTTCTTCATCCAGCCCCATTCTCACTGTGCTTCGGAAAAAGATGGGAAGAGAAAAAAAAGAGACAAAAAATAAACGGTTGCAAGGAAATGTAATGAATTCTATGTTGTCAGCCCTGCAGACCTGGTGAGAGGCACCACTCAAGCATTCTACTCACACACTGTATCTTTTTTTAAGAAAACATTAGGATTTACCATTTAAGTTTTTAAAAAGCAGTATTAATATCATACTCAGCGTCAAGAAATGGAGGCGCTAAGGTGGTAAAATACCCCCTCAATTACATCCGTAAGATTTAAAATGTTTAATGTGCAAGTCTTGGACAGAAATCATTAACATACAATGTACTAAAATTTGAAGGATGGGAATTTCTTCATTGTATATGCTCACAGTAGTAAGTGAAGTACTCAGTCGCTGAAGTACAAACATCAGTATGCTTAAGTGACTTACGCTTCGTTTTTAAGGCAAAATAGGCAACAACACGACTGCATACAGTTACAAAAGTATTTACGGATATGATTAGACAAACAATCCACTTTAAGCGTGAAAATTTTCATGATGTACTTACTATAGCAGTGTTTTATTTGAAAAGTTACTATTAAAAATGTAAAATTAATATAGCTAGGATGAGTAGCACTGACATTTTTACCTGGGCCTCCACACTCATGGATCTTTGTCCCTAAACCTCTCTCACGGTAAGCTGTCCTCTCTCCCTGCCCATTCCCAGTCTTATCGCAAAGGTGCAGGTGTGCCTGAGCAGTCCACAGAGAAAAAAGCTGGAATGCTGAAAATGTATGCAAAAGGTCCCAATGAGAAAAAAAGAAAAAACAGATCCTGAGAAATAAAATTAATGGGGGGGGGGGGGGCCATCTCGCGGACACCCGGGTGTTTCTCAGTCATCCTTGTCTTTTGCTCCATGTTTCAGGATGCGCGTGAATTCAATGTAGTTGAAATTCCCCTTTTTGTCGATGGGTGCCTCTCTGTACAGCTCATCCACCTCTTCGTCGGTGAACCTGTCTCCCATGGTCGTCAGCAGCTCTCGCAGGTAGTCTTCCTGAATGAACCCTAGAATGAGACGTACAGAGAGAAAGGCAAAAGGGAAGCCATTTCTTAGCCGAGTCTTCAAAAGCAGTGAGGCAGACGTACTGACAGACGTGCAATTAACTAATACAGCATGTAATACGTGCATTTGCACCAAGAGCCCAGAATACTTTCTTAATTGAATTCTAAAGAAATTCCTTGAATGCAAAGGGGAAGGGGGGAAGTCTGATGCATTTCATACCAATTTTTGAAACAAGGGCCTGATCTGCTGTGATCTAATAACACCTATTTCCATCTACTGATCTTCAACGGCTCAAAGTGGAAAAACAAGTTCCTGTCACTGCTAGTCTTCATTACACAAGCTGTTCTCTTAATTGAATTATATTTTTCTTGACTTAATTAGATATATTTGCACATCCTCTATAAACTAGTTTCCTCTGGGGACTAAATAACCACTGGCTGGCTCTTCACTGCTGCACAATACTGTTGCTGGAGGCGGTTTACGTGGGTACAGTGAACTGCTGGCAAGTGTCCAGGGGAAGA